ATTATTTTATGAAAAATAAAACATTAAAAAAAAGACTTATTTATTTTTGTATTTTGGAAGAATCGCTTTTATTGCAGTTTAATTATTTCATTTTACAGCAGTTTTTTCTCCTGAAAAACACAGTTTTTATTATTTTATGAATCTAATAAAGTAATAAAAAATTAAACATTAGTCTTTATTTAAAAAATGACATTAAAGAAGTGTTAACAATTTTTGTTGCAAAAAAAAAAACGAAAAATTAAGTTGCGAAGAACATGTCAGAATTTGGATGCGTGAAAACATAAGTAGAGAAATTCGGAAAAATAGCATTTTGGAAATCAAAATTTTGCATTTTTTGAGAGAATCGTATTTTATCGCAGATTGACAATAATTGCATTTTACAGGTTTTTTTTTCCTGAAAAAAGCCACTCCTAATATATTTTTTAACTTTTTAGAGTATATGGATTAAGTTTTATTTCATTGAACAGATTTCAAAATTATTCTCAATTAAATTTGTGTTGTAGTTTTTTTTTTTCTTGTTGTTATTTTGATATTGTTTTACACGATTTTTTTTTATTTCGATATTTTGTTTTTTATTTCTCTGTTATTTTTATAAACGTCTCAGTAGCAAATTTTTCGTGTTTTTAGACATAAATTATGTAAAAGCGAGGGGCTGTTTACTTGGAAAAAATGTGCACAACTAATTCCAATTTCAAAAAATTCCATTGTAATTCTAAAAAAAAATACCGAAATTCCAGCAATTCCAAAAAAATTTACCGAAATTCTAATAATTGCTAAATAATTCTACCGAAATTCTAATAATCCGTTGTAGTACCTATCATTGTTTCCCAATTAATTCCTATAATCCCAAATTAATTCGTGTAATTCTAACTTAATTTCCGTAATTCTAAAATAATTCCTGTCATTACAAAGTATGTAATTCCTATAGTTCTAATAAATTAAAAGTATTTTCAAAAGAGTTGTCTCCGATAATTTCAAAAATAATTCCAGTAATTCACAAATAATACCAAGCAATTTCGATTAAATTCCAAAAATTTTTACAATTAGTTTCAAAATTAACGGTCACTCGTGTAAAAGCAATAGCACATTACCATTACCATTTTTACAAGTTAGCACTGAAAATTAAAATTTCAGAAATCTTGTGTATTAAGGACACGATATCAGGTTTTGTTTTTTTTCAGCAGTTTTATTAGCGACGTTTTATTTCATTTATTTTATTTTGTTTTTTCACATACGTATTAAATACTGAAACTTCATGAATCTTATGCATTAAGGACACGATTTCAGGTTCTGTTTATTTCAGCAGTTTTTAGCGAAGTTTTATTGTAATTATTTTCTAAGCACGTATACATTTTGAAAATTAGAGTTTCAGAAATATTGTGGATTAAGGACACGATTTCAGYTCCTGGTTTTTCAGCAATTTTTAATGGTCTGTTCTTAGCCCATGTTGAAAATTAATATTTCAGAGATCTTACAAAATTTCAGATCCTCTTTTTTCAATAATGGTTAATAGCGAAGTTTTATTTCTTTCATTTCTTTTGGCCTTTTTTAGCACATACTGAAAATTAAAATTTCAGAAACATTGTGGATTTTGGACACCATTTCAGGTCCTGATTTTTCAACGATTTTTACCACAAATGAAATATTGAAATTTTAGAAATATTGTGGATTAAGAACATGATTTTAGGTCCTGTTTTTTTTTAGCGGTTTTTAACAGCGAAGAGTTTTAGAATACTTATTTTTTTGATTTTTACTTTGAAAAAGTCCAAATTGCGATTTACAAATTTAATTTTTTGAATTGATTTTGCAATTTTATCCTACATTTCGACCTAAAATGCTCACTTTACTCTTATTTGATCTTTTTTGCGTTCTTCATCACCACCTATCGTGGATTTACTATTTTTGTAATTGTGTTTTTTATTTTCTCTATTCTGTTCTCAGTTTTGTCTTTTATCAATTTCTTGTTTGATTTTATTCATTAAGGGAAATAACCGTTGTGATTAATGGGCATTAAAAAGTTAAACACAGATGGTTTAACATTTCAATTAAACGCCACATCTGCCCATTACACCAAACACGTAACTTCATCTATACCGTCGCTGTTTAACAGGTTATTTACCGGTATCCTGCGTCCGAAGTTTGAATGAGGATTGATGAAACGGCTCATCTAGGAGTTTATTGGGTTGCAATTTACGTGTTTGAAATGATTTCT